TCAGGTGTTTGATGAAAGGTCTCACTCAACAAATGATTGTGATCTTCAATTAGGCTATCATATGTTGATTTTTGACGCCGGGGGTACACTTATTCGTGGGCTCTTCACTTTGATTGTTCCGACCAAAGATGCTCACAGTTCTAAATTTCTTGTTTTTAGTGGTGAATTCATGAAAAATGGTATTATTGTGCTTTTGAAGCTTGGCTTCCATGAGTTGATTCGTGACAAAGGAGGAACATCTGGTCCAGGCCTCTTTAATTTGAAGTCTACTGGGGACAAACTTTTGGAGATAGCAAAGCCTCTAATGCGGACAATTTTTTGGAGACAGCAAAGCCCTTTGGGTTGCCTGATGAGACGACTTTTTTGCCTTCAATCCGTCTGATAAAATGTGGTACTCAGGTTGCTGTGTTGTTCGATCGTGACATGTGCTACTGCAAGGGCATTCGGAATAAGGGTGGAGGCTCCAAATTCAAGTATACGGTTGCTCCAAAAAAAAAAAAAAATCCTTGTATGAATGAATTTGGAAGTTCTACTGAATATAGACAAAGAATAGATATGATGTTGGTCTCCTTAGGTGGAGAAATTTGGGGACGAATTATTTCAGTCACAGTGTCCACAGATACTAGATTCTTGCCCTCAGCTGAAGTAGTTCATTCAATGATCAAGACATATTCTAATTGCTTAGTTGTGAGGGAAGTATTGAACAAAGCAGGGAGGGTATTGCTTTTGGGCATTACAAACAGGCCCAAGTAAAAGCAAGAGCAAGACGACAATTTTGTGTTATATGCTATTGAGAATAGATGTACGAGTCAGGCTGTTCAAGTGGAGATTGAGATGCATGGCGATGTGTTGTTCTGTGTAGCTGCCCTGGGTATCCTAATGCGTGCTAGAAATTCTGATTGTATGGTCACCATTGCTCCTTTTTTGGGAAGGTGTAATGTGGAGTTAATGTTATCAGCAATGTGCTCTTGGTGAAAGCACACGCCTATGGTTTCATTAGTTCAGTACATATGTTGTTGCTCGTTTACAAGGGAAAAATATACATGTTTTTTGTCCTACTTGTGGAAGCATATTGCTGCGGCAAGTTGCTATGAATGCTGCTGCTATATACTACTGGCTTACGTTGCTCATTGTCTCAAGATCAACCTTGAGTAGTTGGATCCATTGCCAAATCATAATCAAAAGAATGCTACTGGAATTTTCAAAGTTAAACCTTGAGGACAAGGTTGATTTCCAGGGGTGGGGTAATGTTAGGTTTCCAAGTGGCATCACTTAGTTAGCCCAGGTGTCTCAATTGTTGAGTTGGAGATCTTTAGCCTGCAACCAGATATGTAAGTTGAGCTATGTGCAGATGCAAAGGGTGAATGAATATTTGGTTGTATTAGTGTTCTTGTTAATATCTCTTAGCAATCTTGGGTCAAGGTTTATTTAAGTTCTATCAAATCTTGTACACCGTATGATTGACACATAAGGTTGACTCAAATTCTGAAGCTGTTATTAATTAGAAATGTATCTAATGGGTTCCAAAAAGGAAATTAAATGGTTGTGCCTGGAACATTCCAGCAGTTTGGCCCACCTAATGTCATGTGGCACAGCATTTAAAATATTGAAAATAAGAAAACTACGAATTACTGATATCCCTTAGCCTTTTCTATTTATGATCAGATGAAAGTCGAAAGCTTCAGTTGTCAACTGAATCTTGTGTTGGCTTGTTGGATTCGTTTTAGATGACTAAGTTATTTGGGGACGGGCCTGCAAAACTTTGACACATAATGAGAAGATGGTTCTAGTAGTTTTCTCATTAAGGGTGGTCCTGTCCATCAGTAAAAGAATGGACAACCATTACTGAAGCTATATTTTGTTATATTTAGTTAGCCAATAGAATTGCGTAAACTATATTTTGTTAGATTTAGTTAGCCAATATGTAAGAGCTGATACTATAAAAGTGCCTTAATCATGGTCTGGTTGTTGAGGTTAACCTTTCATTGACGGTGTAATACTCTCATAAAGTGAAAATAACATAAAATGCATAATGCTTTAGCATTCACATAAAAAATCATTTAGTCTACTGTGCGGTTTCTAGTGCAGGATGATTGCAGCATAGTGAAATTTGAAGCTTTAATTTTCTGTTGACTACTTTTGGTGACATAAAGAAGCTAGGAACTGGAAGTATCAAATTAAGAATTAGATTCTCGTGACTTAGGTCGATTCACTTCAAGTTGAATCAACAACAAAACTGATGTTTTTCATTCAGGAAGAATCTTAGGGCTTACATTTGAATTCTGCTTTCTAATGGAATTAGAAGAAGCTAGGAACTAAAAGCGTCAACCTGAGAATTAGATTGTCATGAAATTATGTTGAGTGACTTGCGTCAACAACTATACTGATGTGTTGTCATTCATTAGAATCTTAAGGCTTACTATCAAAGTCTCTTTTCTAATCCAATTAGATGTTTTCCTTAGGATACACCTTGTAAAGTTATGTAACTGTCCCTTCATAGGTCAAGTTTCTCATTGGGAAAGAAATCCAACTAGTGTTGTGCTAATTTTTCTGCTAACTGGATAAACGTGTTTCTTTTTTCTTTTGGACTAAAGATCAACAAAGATTTCTTTGATCTCATCGCAAATTTAGTATTTTCTGTTACCCCAGATCAATTTAAAATTCCAATAACATAAATTTTGCTTCTTGACCAGGTACTTAGTTACAACATTGAAGGTAGTTCCAAGGGGAACAGAGGGGGCTATGAGTGTTGAGGGAACCTTTTCTGGACTTTTGGCTGCTATCGTTCTTGCATTTGTTGGTTGCGCCATGGGTGAGGTGCTGTTTACGATATATACCCTTCGATGTTTGTATTTATTATTTGTCTGTCACTTAACTTTTATGTTTATAACATTCCTTGTACTTTTGGTCAAACAGATAAGTGCACCTGAGGCAATGATATGCGTAATAGCTTCCCAAATAGCTAATCTTGGTGAGAGCATTATAGGTGCTGCTCTTCAAGAGAAGGAAGGATTTCGATGGGTAAGCAACGATTCCCACGTTTGATTTTTTCATATCAAATTTTTGGTTCCTTTATTTTATGTATTCTGTTCATTCTCTAATAGAATCAGTTAAGGAGCACCAATAGCCATCCCGTTTCATGGGCCTCCTGAGTATATTTGAGCTTGATTCATGGGTTTACTGAGCACGTTGGTGAAATAATGATGAATATGGGGAAGTATGGTGGTCTTTTATCCCATTGAGGACCTGGTGATAGAATTAATGGGCAATATGGGTAGCACAGGGAGGTTCCTTGAATAATAACAATTTCATGATACCGTACCACTCTGACCCCCCAAATCGTGAGGAAATTTTTTTAAAATGCATAATTTTCTTTGTGCTTCAATTGCACTAATTCCCCTTCAAAAGCATGGACATGGAGGGCCTTAGAGGTTACAGCTCCATAATATACATTTTTCCTTGTAGTTTGTTGTCGGTTTCAGCAGTGTGCAACATATTTCCCTCTGTCCTTACCCTCTGTCCACGCTCAATTTTACAGCTCAACAACGATGCTGTGAATGTCATAAACATATCGATGGGCAGCATTTTGGCAGTCTTGATGCAGCAGGTTTTACTCCAGAACTGGAGTATGTAAATTGCCAAATTCATGAAGGTAGAAGATGCTTCTCCGACGTGCCAACCAGCTATGCTAACAAAATCGAACATGATGCGTATACTTTACACTGGTGACTGAAAAGACCGTTGCACTCTACGCGGGAGACAGATTACAAGCATGTTGCCTTACTCAGATGGCGGTATTAACAATTTAGCGAGACTCTGTTCATACAAAGTTATTCAGAAATTTTTTGGGAGAAAACTCTGGTTCGACGCTCCCGTTCCCCAAAGAGAAAAAAATTACCCACGAAACGTTTTGGTGAACTATTTGTCGTCGAAATGTATATACAATGGAAATTAATCTTGAAGTAGTCAGAAATAGGATTATTTTGCTATGTTCCATCAAGAACATTTTTTCTTATTGAAATGTAATTTTTTGTCTTTTAAAAAATGAGGACAACTGGTGGCAAACCACGGTTATCCATCTCTTCCGGGGGCTGAGAAGACTCACAGAGGCATTTCAGCCTCGTTATGGTCACAAGTCTGGGTTTCACACCTTGCCAAAATCCCCCTAAACTTGTACCACTAACTCTTGAATACCAATTCTTAAAAAAAATTCGGCTAAAATACTACGTTTTTAGTTCAAGGTATCAATGGAAAAGTAAATAAAAATGATGTTATAAATACTATTCAATACAATTACATGATTGCCACTCAATGCTAACATTTTTTTTCGGCCGGCCAATATTTCTTGCAACTAGTTCATCAGATTTTCTAGCGACCAGGCGATATAATTTTTCAGTCTCAAGGTCACTGTTCAAGAGTGACGTGCAATGAAACATGTAATGAATCTTATCATAAGTTCTCTAATTGTGTTGTGTATATATGTAAAAACCAATATTCGCACAACAAATAAAATTGAAGATGAAAAATTGCACATCGGAAATTTCTGGCAATCGAAAAAAAAACCGGCCACTATGACGGTGGTCGACAACATGGCACTAGCACAGGTGCCATGTGTGTCATATGCAATTGGGAACAAAAATATAAATGTTTCTATACATAAAAGTATATTTGCCGTCAATTTATGGCTTAATCCAAATAAAAAGGGAATTAATTAGTAGTTTTCTTTATGGTTGATAAATCTTTTTCCTAAAATCATTAACTTGAAATTAATTTTGTATTTAAATTGTAATCATTACTCACTCACTTTTTCTCTTTCACACGAAAACTTTATTCTTTTAATAACTTCCGTCATATGCATAGCATGTCTAGAATATCCAATAACTTTATTAACCTTCTAAATGAGACCTAATTCTAGAGTCAAGTCAAAATGAATTGAATAAGACGGGTACTAGTCGGACTAATTTCTGTAACCGTCATATTGTCACATAGTGCTACCAATCAAGAAATCCGGTTGGAATCTCATCATTTCATAGCAGACTTTCATGCAACCATATAAACCAAAACAAGAACTCAGACTAAACCATCCAATTTCCTCTAACAAAATCAGAAGCAGCCAAATTTTGATGATAAGCACCTTGTTTTGAACGCCCCCAAAGAACAACCACCTGAAGTTCCTCTCTCTAAACATGCCCTCCTCGTTTTGCCACCTCCCTTAAACCACCCCTATTCCATGCCTTATATTGTCTCTTAGCCTACCTGAAAAACATGTCCTCTTCTTCCCATGAAATTGTCCTCACCAGCTCCCCAGACGGCCCGATTATCGCCTATGATGCTTCCTCGGGCACTGCTCTAGCACAGTTCACAGGCAGCAGGTCCCCGCGTCGAGGTCTCACCATTGTTGGGAGGCCTTACATTGCTGCCTCACACGTATCTCCCACCACTGGTTCTGGTTCAATCCACCTTTACAACTGGTGTTCTTCATCTGCCTTGCATAACTTGCAAGTTCCGGAACCCGTTGCCCCCCTCGCCGCCATGTCTGACGGGGCGTACCTCTTTGCCGGCGGCCTGTCAGGGAGTGTTCATACATTGTCCATCCCGTCTGGGGATGTGCTCAAGTCATTGGCTGTGCATAACAAACCCGTGTCCTGCCTCGGGATCAGCCACGACGAGTCGCTCCTGATTTCTGGCAGTGATGATGGAAGCATTGTGGTTGTTCCCATCTTCCAGCTTGTGGCGGCCTCAGGATATGTATTATACGATAATGTGGAAGACCTGGTGTTGCATAGGTTTTCTGCTCATTCGGATTCGGTGACTGCCGTTGTTTCTGGTGTGGGATTACACACCTCCCAAGTTATTTCGTGCTCATTGGATGGCACATGTAAATTCTGGAGCCTCTTGCGCGCGGCGCTCCTGCGTACAGTTGTGTTTCCGTGCGCTATTTTCGGTATCGCATTAAACCCAAGAGAACCCGAGTTCTATGCTGCAGGATCAGATGGTTCAGTATACAAAGGATTATGGAGAAGTGGAAGGAGGCAGCTTGTAATGCAAGGCAAGGACTTGATCACCTGGAGTCCGAAGCACGACGGGGGAGTTGTATCTGTGGTGATGGTGAATGAGGGAAGGAATTTGTTATCAGCTTCGGAAGACGGGAGTGTCTGGGCTTGGCAAGTTGATGCAGGACAGGTGGTTATGGTTCTCGCTAACGAGATGGGGAGCATTAGTGATCTGGTGGCAGCCACGGGCACAAACTACAGCAAAGGGCATGATTTCAGCGCGAGCAACAGGGGTTATCGAAATGGGAGTTGCGAGTTTGGGTTAACTGGAAAAGAACTGACGAGTATGCCGATAAAGATGTTAAAAATGGACGAGATGTTGAAGGTGGCAGCAAGGGATAGAAGCAGAGCGATTGATATGCTCGAATCTGCCATCGGAATGTATGAGAGGCTCTTGGAACTCATCCTCAAGGAAGCCAAGAAAAGTAGCAGCAACAACAAACAACGGTGATGAAAAGGATAAAAACATCATACACAATTTCTATATGCAAAAATGTGTTATTCAGACAAATGTACGTCTCTATATAATACACACAGTGGTAAACATTAGTTCTATTTTCTCTTCGCCCTTCGCGTCCGCCTTCCTCAAGAAAAAATAAAACAGATGCAACGTTTTAGTGTTCGTTCAAATGGGCACTAACACAGAATTGCTAATTTTACATTCATCATATAGCGTTCATTAGAATGAAAATTCATCAGATACAGAAACATAAGAGTACGGTTTAAAACCGCCCTAACCATTCAAATCGTCCAAAACCAAATCAATCCAACCAGTTCAGTTCGCATTTTACACTATAACAACATAATCGTCAGCCTAAATGAACCAAACCGCGTCTACCCCGTTAAACAGACAATACAAGAAACCTAATGAAGGGATATTTCCTCCATTGCATTTCTTTTTTTCTGGCTGGTACTTGTAGGCCAACCATTGAAGTATAAATTCAAACATTTAACAGATGCGCTCTTGTCCTATTTTCGACAGGTTGTTCATAATTCAAATTCCAGATGCAATTTGATTTGAAACATTCCTAACAGTAAAAGACATGTGGCAAATCAACCCCCTAATGCAAAACAAAAACAGAAAGCATGATTTGACAATATAAAAGTTCATAAAGTAGTGGTCGGCATGGGGCTGGGTCTAGGAATATCATGCACAGTGAACTAGCACATAACGTTCTAGTAGATCATATCTGATATCAGTCATAGGAAAATTGTAGGCTGCGGATTTAACTTCCGTCAACAATTACACTACAGGAGGACGGTATTTCAAATCAATCATGATACCGTCAACTTAGCATCCCAGTTGTATAAGAAACTGAGATCATAATGCATCACAGTTTTAACAAAGTCAAATGAAAGAACAAGCTAGGAGGTCCAGCCCTTATGAGCCTCTGTGCAATTGCATGTGAAAGAGAGAAGCTACGCACATGGCATGAGAGGCATGGAGTCACGGGCAGGTCATCAGTTGTTTAGATTGTCTAAGTTAAGATGTCACATCAGCCCGACTGAGATATTTTTGATAGCATAAAAGTATCAAAGGATCAAGAAAGAAGCATAGATACAACGTTTCTTAGACATTGACGAATAACTAATCTCTTCATTTTCATCAAAACGAAAAAGTGCTTACAGACATTTGAAAAAGATGAGTATTTTAACATGTCACGAGGTAATGGAATATACGACAGTCTTACATAAACACGAGATTTTCTTCATTGAATTTCTTGAGCATGGTAATAACTCTTGACTTTTTTTTCTATCCAACAAAGAAGAACCTTAATAAATCTAAATGGGTAAAAATCAAATCGAATATATATGCAGTAACCAAATACAAGTCATACATTTTTGTATTATCGCAGATTGATGTTTGCAAACACTACAAGGATGATGGGAAGTGGTAAGTAAGACAAATCTAACTTCAACAGATACCATTAGAAGATTGCTTACACTTATTCTACCCTAGAGGAGAAAGAACGGTACAACAGATACTATATTATAAGCACAACAAACAAACCCAGCATACGGTAATTTTTGTAGCAGGGGCTAGAACTGCCTACGACGTTTTGAGACAGTACCATTATGTTGGGAACAAAAAGGGTTTTCCATTTGTGAGTGGCAGATGTCTGGAACAAACATTGTAGAAGAATCCGACGGATTCTGAAGACTTTTTGGCCAGTATAGTCCCGATGCTGTAGGTGGGGAAGGTATCTGTGGTACCATCCATGAGGCCTCCGGCACCTCACCTATGTACTCATAATCGTCCAGTTCCTCCTCAGATGATCTTAAAACTGGTGAGCCATATTCCCCAAGTTTACCGCAGTCAGCCTGACATCACAAGAAAGAAGCAACATTATGCACTTGTATAACCATAAAGCTCAGAGAAGCAGGCCATCACTCATCGGTCATAGAAAATTCAAGAATTTTGTCGACGGCCTAACTTTAGCCAGTTCTTCCATAATCACAGGACCTTTGCAACACAACAGCAGTAAAAGCACTTTATGATGACCTAGAATACAAGCTTATAGGACACCTCCTATTTGCAAAAATAAGGCGCAATCCTCCGAAGAGACCCAATATCCAGTACTTCGCATTCGAATATTCATGAAACCAAAAAATTGGCACCACAATTTCGAAAGGTTTCTCCAAAATCAATTGTTAAGTGCAATCACAATAAAGAATGCAATTTGCAATATTGCAATAGGATAATGATGGTTAAATCATCAATAATTATAAGATTAGCATTGGGTGCAAAGAGCGCACGCACCTTTGAAGATCCATTATCAATGTAGCCAAAGCTCTGATCAAGATCAGAGAGTCCAAGAAACTCATCTATATAACATTGTGGAACCGTCCCAGCTGAAGAGCCCCCAGTAAACGACATCCCCCCGGCAACTCCGGGCAGCGCCGCCTTGCACTCCACCGGTAACGAGTCGTGCGTTTCACATCTAGACACTGAGCCAGAACCAGACCCAGGACGTGACTTCATAGTAGAAGAAGACGCACCAACCCCATCACCGTCGCCGAAATCCGGCTGAGCCGGCTCAGGCCCAACCTTGATTCCGGTAAGCAAAAACCTCCGGTGAGCTGACACGAAGCTATTAGCCGTGTGAACGGCAACATCACATTTTCTACAGAGCAAAGCTCGATCTTCTAAGCAGAAAAAGTACCCAACTGCCTCCTGCAAAACATTATCTCAAAAATTCAAGCAAACCCCAATTCGAATTCCATGTTTTTACGATAAAATTTCTCAACTTTTTCGATGTGGGATTTAAAATCATTGAAGTTTACCTGGCAGATATCGCATTTGGGCATGTGGGAGGAGGAAAGAGGAACCCTCTGGTGCTTGCTCGCGAGCTTGTTCGCTTTGTGAACCTTCTCGTCGCACGCCCAGCAGAGAGCCGCCTCGTCGGCGCAGCAGAGGACGTTCGCCTCCGCTGCCTCGCAGACGTTGCACTGTATCTTCATCTCTCTCTAAACCCTTCCAAAATCTCTGCTTTTGTGAGTTTGTTGGTGATTCTCTCTCTAGTCTCTACGGTTGAAGGATGAGGAGGGGGAGTTGAAAATGAGTGAATTTTTATGAGGACAGCGAGCAATTCAACGTGACACGTGGACGGTTTTAACAAGTGTCGTGGCTTAAGAGGCCGCCGTTGCTTTGCAACTGTAACTTAGGACGATATTTCTGTTTGAGTAATGATATTCATTTCGTATTTTTGTATTATATTTTTATACCATTTTAGATGGTATTTGATGTAGATAGCTACATCATTTGAATTAATTATATTTTTTAAATTTAGTTCATTATTTAATAAACTAATAATTAAGAAAAACTAGTTAATTAAATGATTATTGTGGTATATAAAAAGTCTTTCTCCTTCCTTTCCTTGGGTTTTGCAAAAGTTTTTAAATGGTATAGCTGTCTACATCAGATATCACCTAAGATAGTACAGAAATATAGTATAAAAATATGATATGAATAACATTGCATTTTGTGTTTACAAATATCTTTGGAGCTCAACTGACACTGCATTCTGACAAACAAAAATCGATACTTCGTTAGAGTCGGGTTTGATTGGCTCGTATCTGTCTATAGAGTTTAAAAGTGGAATTAGCACACGTCGGCTCATCCTATGTGTTTAAATTTTTATTTTATTTTATTTGAATGAAAAGTTATCTATTGGCCGTAAAAAATAAAGGGCTTTTTTGAAATGAGTCCAAAGTAACTAAAAATTGGACCTATTTCAAAAGTTAAAAGTCACAAAAAATTGAACCTATTTCAAAAGGTAGTCTATAAAATTAGACATATTTCAAATTTTCCCAAAAATAAAATAAAACAAGTAGTATTAGCGAAGTTGTATGATTAATGCGGACATGAAAATGAAAAAATTTCCAGTGTCTAGATTGGAAGGGCAACTTAAAAAAAGTGAGAACATCACTACGCTGACGTCTTAATTTAATAATCGATTACTTTTTTTAATTATTTTCACATTAGTTTTAAACGGTTTGTTTACGGATTTAGATAACTTGTCCCACAATAGAAACACCACCCGAACCCGCAAAACCCCAACGGTCTAGTTTAGAATGGACACCGGCCGGAGCAACTAGGCAACATATGGAGGGTACCAAAATTAATGAGGGGTCTCATTCAAGGACCGCCATTGTTTGTTATGGGATGGTACACCTCTCTTGTTGAGGTTTTGAACTTTATGAGATGAGATGTAGGAACTAATGAAGGGTAGGTATCCCTTAGTTGAAGGATTATTGAGGCTATAAAGGCTTATTAAAGCTGCCTTAAATATCATCAAGTATCAACTTGTGTGGTTGTAAATAATTTAATCTTATCTGTAATATGTACAATCATATAATGTAATGGAACTAGCAATTTAAATAAATAATTAGCTCTCTAGGCGTCACGTCCGTTAAATCACAAGGTTCAAATCTTGGACAGGCGACGAAAACTATCAAGCTGAATTACAATAGAGGCATAATTCGGTCTTCTTCCCATTACTTAGACGTCTGGTGGACAACTTACATGAAATATGTATTATTTTGTCTAATAATGCAATATTATATGAAAAGAAACTTAAATATGCTTTTCATTAATGAACATGAACCCTACATGACGACACACATATTTTATATAAGTCATTCTTGCATAATAAGGTGACTTGTCGCCTTCTTCCAAGGGTTTTAGGACATTTGTTGAGCTCCTTGTATCTTGGTCCGGGCGGGACCACTTTCCGGGCCTGCTCCGTCACCGTAGCATGATATTGTTCGCTTTGGGCTTACCATTCTTTCACGGTTTTGTTTTTGGTAACTCACGAACAACTTCCTAGTAGGTCATCCATCATGGGATTGCTTAAGCCCCCTTCTCGCTTAACTTCGGAGTTCCTACAGAACCCGAAGCCAGTGAACTCCCAAAAGACCTCGTGCTAGGTACGGATGAGAATATACATATAAGCATCACTCTCCTGAATGATGTGGGATGTCACATATAAGTCATGGTGCATTAAAAAATGTTGATTTGAAATATTGAACTTATCGTTGGGAAATGTTCACTTACTTGAAATGAAAGGAAAAAAAAATGTAGAAAACTTCATTTTAATCCTTAAAAAAGATGAGTTTTAGACTATAACCTTGTGTAAGATTAGAATCCAAATTTAGTCCCTAGTACCTTTAATCATCTCATTTATTAGTTATATTTTGATGTTTTATTTATCTTTTTATTCCTATTTAACGTATTAATTACACTGAAATTTAATCTTCATTTCATTTATCATAATATTTTAATGTCTACATTTAGGCAACTAATTTTTATTTATTTATAATATATTGTCCAATAACAATTTTGTATGTTCTTTATTTAGATACATTAATATATTTGAATATTTCTGTCATATCCCGCCCCGGGGCAGATCACTTCCTGGGCCCGCTCCACCACCGTAGCACGATATTGTCCGCTTTGGACTAACCATTCCCTCACGGTTTTGTTTTTGGGAACTCACGAGCAACTTCCCAGTGGGTCACCCATCATGGGATTGCTCTAACCCCCTTCTCGCTTAACTTCGGAGTTCCAACGGAACCCGAAGCCAGTGAGCTCCCAAAAAGCCTCGTGCTAGGTAGGGATGAGAATATACATATAAGGATCACTCCCCTGGGCGATGTGGGATGTCACAATCCACCCCCTTTAGGGGCCCGACGTCCTCGTCAGCACACCACGGCTAGGGTTAGGCTCTAATACCAAATTGTCACATCCAGTCCCGGGATGGATCACTTCTCGGGCCCGCTCCACCACCGTAGCACGGTATTGTCCGTTTTGGGCTTACCATTCCCTCACGGTTTTATTTTTGGGAACTCACGAGCAACTTCCTAGTAGGTCATCCATCATGGGATTGCTCTAGCCCCCTTCTCGCTTAACTTCGGAGTTCCTACGAAACCCGAAGCCAGTGAGCTCCCAAAAGGCCTCGTGCTAGGTAGGGATGAGAATAAACATATAAGGATCACTCCCTTGGGCGATGTGGGATGTCACAATTTCGGTATATTCATTGATACAAACATATATGGACATTAATTTATCAATACAAACATATATATGCATTTCGGTACATACATTTTGGTACACATATTTGAGTTTTTTTTTTTTTTAATACAACGATATATTTTACACTAAGACGAAGGGGGTTCGGCTAAGCCACACAATAGACAACTTAATTTGGTATCAAATTCACTATTCACAAGATTCGAACCTAATACCTCTCATTTGAGTATTGACTTTTAGATACATTAATTCAATATACTATATTTCGATACATATATTTTGGTACGTACATTTTGGTACATACATTTCGGTATTGACATTTTGTTACATTAATCGGTACATACATTTCAGTACATATATTTCGGTACTATATTTCGGTACGTACATTTCAGTACATACATTTCGGTATTGACATTTTGTTACATTAATCGGTACATACATTTCAGTACATATATTTCGGTACGTACATTTCGGTACTATATTTCGGTACATACATTTCGGTATATACATTTCGGTATTGATATTTAGGTACATTAATTCAATATAATACATTTCATTACATATATTTAGGTTTATTATAATATATTTCGGTACAATCATGTAGGTACAAAAAAGTCAATTATATATATTTCGGCACAGTACAATCATGTATTTATATATTTTGTATCACAAATTTCTTTTAATATTTTCTCATTTATGTTCATTTATAATTAAAGAACTAAATATGTGCATATTAATAAAATAAAAATTTAATATGGAGAGATTAAACAAAAATGCACATTAAATAACAAAAATTGAATATAAATTTTGATAAAAGTACACTTCAAGGGATTAAATTGAATATGTAATCTAGCACTGGTTTTTTTTTTTTTAATTTTAATCTTTTGGAAGGACTAATGTTTAAAAACCCCAAAAAAATGAGGCTCAGATTTAATATCTTTGAAATTTAGCTGTGCCTAATTATCATATTGATATATCTTAAGTGTGAAATATTTTTACGTTTGACTATACAAATTAAAAATTAAAAACAAAATACCAAACAACTCTTTAGTTTTTATTGAAATTTGAAGAAGTAAACTAATTAATGAGTGATGGAACGGAATCAAATCGTGATCATGCAACTCGGTTAGTTCTATGATGCGGGTAGAGGCTACAACACGATCATGATCCATCGTCTTGGCAAGAATTTAATTCTAAACGGTGAGGGATATATTCGGTTGGGTATGCGGAATCAAATCGTCACGTCGTTAAATCACAAGGTTCAAATCCTGGACAGGCAATGAATACTATCAAGCTGGAGTACAGTAGAGGCATAGTTCGGTCTTCTTACCATTACTTAGACGTCTGATGGACAACTTACATGAAATATGTATATTGTTATGTGTTATTTTGTATAATAATGCAATATTATATGAAAAAAAACTTAAATATGCTTTTCATTAATAAACATGAACCCTACATGACGACACACATATTTTATATAAGTCATTCTTGCATAATAAGGTGACTTGTTGCCTTCTTCCAAGGGTTTTAGGACATTTGTTGAGCTCCTTGTATATGGGTTGTTTAAGACTTATAAGTCATGGTGCATTCAAAAAGATTGATTTGAAATTTTGAACTTATCGTTGGGAAATGTTCACTTACTTGAAATGGAAGTAAAAAAAATGAGGCTCAGATTTAATACCTTTGAAATTTAGCTCTGTCTAAATATCATATTGGTACGCTTTAAATGTGAAATGTTTTTATGTTTGATTACACAAATTAAAAATTAAAAATGAAATACCAAACAACTCTTTAGTTTTTATAGAAATTTGAAGAAGTAAACTAATTAATGAGTGATGGAACGGAATCAAATCGTGATCATGCAACTCAGTTAGTTCTATGATGCGGGTAGAGGCTACAACACGATCATGATCCATCGTCTTGGCAGGCGTGAGGGATATATTCGGTTGGGTCTGCCGAACTAAAGTTCGGTGCTGGGCTTAGACAGTGTTCAGAGTTTGGGCTCGAGTCAGCCCATTGTTGCACATTCATATTAACCCGACCCGAATGTCATATCTCGACGGTTTTTTTTTTTTTTTTTTTGTTTTTTTTTTTTTTTTGGAATTTAAATTCAGAGAGCGTCTCGTTTTCACAAAGAAAGCTCAGCGGAGCACATTGTCCCCGCCATTTCTAATTCGAATCAGAAGCCGTACGTGCACCAGTCTTCCCAGCAGCAAGAACATTTCCCGCCAAATCCGTTCCCAAACCGCTAGGGTTTCTCTTCACTTCTCTCCCGCGTCCTTTTCGAATAGCTGTAACTTCGTCTTTCCGATTGGTAGAGACAAAAAAGAACAAAGAAATTTTCAACTTTTGCGGTATATCTCTGTAAAGTATTACAACTCGTATTTCATATTGCATCGCCTATCTATCATCTGTAATTCTCGATTTCGTTTTACTTTTTGGCGTTTTAAGAAGATTTCGTACGAATCGGATAGACGGCCGAGTTGGACGAGCGGAAGATCACAGTCGGACGGTCTGTAGTTTGATAGCTGAAGGTTTTGTTCTGAAGTCAACGGAATCAAAGCTTTGGAGCAGAATTTGGGCTAACGTTCAGGTATGATTCTCTGTGGGAGTAAAAGTTTAACAACTCTCTTTTCACTGTTTGGTTGCTGAGAAAATGTTAAAAATCAAAGGAGTTTGCGTTGGTTATTTATTGATGAGGAAATCGAAATCATATTGTCAGTGAACATGAAGTTATTTCCTTTGCCGTTTCGATGAATAAAAAGATGTAATTTATGTGAAAATATGTCAGTTGGACAGATTATTAATTAAAATGATATCACTAAGTGATTTGAGTATAGGAGCACAATACCCTAACTAGAGCAACATAGAAACCAAGGGTGTTTTCAAGTGCACAAGACGAGGCACAGAACATATCCGTAAGCTCTTTTTATCCTACACACTTAGACAGGATAGTATATAGTGCACGAGAATAAATATGGAATTCATAGTTGTGGAAAGAACTGATCATGTAATTTGTTAAATACATGCTTAGTTGGAACAAGTTACAGGTAAAATTTTCTTTGCTCGAATTCTGATAAGTCGTGTCATCTGAGTTTAGAACCAATTTTGTCCGTCGTTAAACTATAATAATCAAAGTATGAGATGTCCTGCAAAAGAAAATTTCCTCTTACTTGTTTGAGCATCAAAGTTATCTAGTTAAGATTTCAAAACTTATTGCTGCATTGTTGGAAAGATTGTCTTACGCTAAATTGATTTTGAATTCCCAGTTGCGAGTTGTAAAAACTGTCTCTGAATTTTGAAACCATCATGCGGCCTTTATGTCAAATTATGAATAGACCGGTAAGTTGCTTTCATGTCAAATCACTTGCAGGATGGTGTTTTGTGAGTATTTCCAAGTCACAGCATGATTTCAATGCGTTCTTGTCTCTCCTTTAAATTGGAAATTTTTTATCCTTCCTGGTTTTTCATTTGAATTGAAACCCATGACAGAAAGCATATAAACCGGTCAAGATAAGTGTTGTTGATTACCATGTTTTATATGCCCCAGATATGCCAGTGCATTAGAGATTGTCTTCAAAGGTTGAAATGAGATGCAATGCGTGTTGGCGAGAACTGGAAGGGCGAGCCGTTTCTACCACCTGTGGCCACCTTTTGTGTATCCTGTGGAGAGGAAAATTTTTCCTTGACGTTTGTATAAATTTAACTTTCTTGTGGAGATAGGGTTGTTGGTATATACAAAAATATGAATTTCCTTAACAGTGTGAAAAGGCACAGAGGATGCGGGCAAGATCCTTGGCAATGATGGAGCGTGTCCAGTTTGTGATCAAGTGCTCTCTAAGAGGTAAGACACTCTTTTGATCTTAGAATGTTAGCATTTTCTGGGAATCTGTATTCTTCAAGCCTTTCAATTAAGTGTGAAGGTGCACTGAGCATACATGAACATAAATGAGACGGTGTCATCCTTTCTTTTTTAGTAAGTAATATGAGAGTGTAACTATATGCGTTGTATCAGTATGGAATAACTGCTGAAAACGAAATTTAGTCTGTTTCTGGTATCAATGGTTGCTGCAGAATCATTTTTCATGCAGCAACTAGTTTGAACAATTCTTGACAGAACCGAAAATTCAAGCTATAATATGACAGTTCGCCACCAATAAAACATAGCGTTTGGAATAGAAACACTGGCAAACTTATTTCCTACGTACATATAGCAGTTGCCTTATTTTCATTTTGCCCATCTCATTTATGCTTTCCTCTTCGCAGTCATATGAAGGCTTTTGATATCAATCCAAATGATGAATGGATAAGTGTAAGCAAGCAATCACTGACTAGACCTAGCTTGCCTTCATACCTTATATTACTTTTCCTTTTGTGTTTGTAGCTTCTGTATCCTTTTGATAATGCTCGCAACATATTCTGTTTCAGATGGCCATGATTGGAGTGTCTCCACAGATATGTATCCTTTTCTATTTTTTTTCTGCAATTGAATAATCTGATACGGTGATTGGTGCATTTCTTATGAGGGAATGACGGAACTTGATTAGGTTTTTATCGTATTGTATTCAATGTTTTGTAAAGGGACAATGGACAGGACATCTTTCCCTTGACAGTATTCCTAGTAATGAAGAGTGCACACAAAAGTGTCATGTTCTACATTGGCCAAAGGGAATTGGAAATGCAGTGCAAGATGAACAGAATACAAGCTCAGTATCGGCAGAAATTTGAAGCAATGCAAGAGAAGTTTGGTGAGAAAATGGAACAGCTGCATGCCGCATGCCAGAAAATGGCAAAGAGGTGCCAAATGATGGAACAAGAAATTGAGAGCTTGTCCAAGGATAAGCAGGAGCTGCAGGAAAAGTTTTCAGAGAAATCCAGGTCTTGTTTCCATACCTACTGATACTAATTCCTGAAGCATATAGTCCCGTGACTGGGGCGCTCGTATAATGACTTTGTCTATTCATGTACCAGACAGAAGAGGAAATTAGATGAAATGTATGATCAATTGAGGAGTGAGTACGAGTCAGTTAAACGATCTGCCATCCAACCTTCGACCAATTTCTTTTCAAGAAACGAACCCGATATTTTCTCAAACCAAGCTAACATTATGATGGATAACAGAGAAGCTGTTAGAAAAGGTAACTCTTTTCCTTTTAAGCTGCAGAAATACTGTATGCATCAACTAATTGACTCTACACAGCGATAGTTTCTATGAAATACCAGAAATAAATTATAGAGAAGTAAATAAAATCCATGTTAACTTTAATAACCCCCCTAAATTCTGGACGTTTGATGCTATAACGTGACTGATCTGAACATGACAACTTCATTTTTTTTTTTAAAATTTTGGCTCAAATATTTCCAAAACCAGTTGACTTATTTCTAGCAGATTGGCCGGTTATCACTCCTGAAACGCCAGGGCCGAAGGAGGATATATGGCCAGCAAGACAGAATAGTTCAAACTCCGGGGCACCTTTTGACATCACGCTTGAATCACAAGCAAAACAAGCTGCTATTCCAGTTGATGCTGGGAACAGAAGGGCTGGTGCTCACACTATGTTTGGAAACGGAGCGAGCAACCCCTCAATGACTCTAAGAAACATGATACTCTCCCCAATAAAGAGGCCTCAGTTCTCCCGCCGTCCCCAGATGTTCACGTAAGTTGTAATAAACATTCTGCCAAGTTTACGTAGCTATTCATTCCTGAATTTTCACGACCTGGTTTTTCAGGTTCTAGGCTCGAAGTTGAGTGCTCGCTGTTCGCTGAAAGTCATGCTGGCTATGTTTACAGCGACTGTAATTTTCCTTTCTTTTTTTCTCTGAGAAAAAGAGAAAATTTTTGCAGACCTTATTAAAAACCAATCATATGCTGTAACAGAAAAATGCATCAATTGAAACATCATTTACTGTAAATATTTTCGTTTTTGGGTGAAGCAAACTCCGCTTGTGTAAATTTATCTTACATTGCTGGTCCCAAGCCCGGATAAAGGAGGAGGGGAAGGGCGTCAGGTAGTCAACAACTGGCACTTCTATCTTACGTCGAATCCTTGGGATGCAATCATACCAATTCACATGCATCGGATCCCATTAGAACTCCAAACTTAAGCGAGTTTGGGTGAGAGTAATACTAGGATGGATGACCTCTTGGAAAGTCCTTGTGTTGCATCCTCACAGCTGACCCCACCTAGTGGGAAAAGGCTTAGTTGTTGTTTTTGGGTGAAGCAGCTTCCGATGACATGGTTATAGGCATGGTCGTTACACCCCGGAAGTTGATTCGCCTCTAACGCTCCCTGCTCTCTCTGCTTCACTTAAGCAGATATAACTAGTAACGAGTGGCACATTTATTTACTTGGAATGGAGAATGTTACTCGCATGCTAGTAAACGCAGGGGGAGTCGGGGTTCCGAATATTTCCAGTACCATTTCAAGTAAAATGTGTCGTGTGATGCAAGGATAACGAAGATGCTGAGTAATGTTAGAGAGACTAAATTTATAGACTAAATTTTGTAAACTAAATGACATGGAAGTTGATGATTGAATTATTACTTAAATGTTGATAAACGTGCTCATTTCTTATTGGTGACATATCATTTAGTTGCAAAATTAGTCTGTGAATTTAATTTCCCTAGCATTACTCCAAGGTGCCATATGATTCAATGTTTTTTTATTTCGTTTTCTGCTTTTCCGTGATTACAACGAACATAGAATTGTCATTAATTGGTAGGTGCAGACATACAAGAGATCGGCAATCATAGACCTTTTTCTTAGTAGATTTCTACGGGAAATCAAAGAATCAAAACCCTACAACCTGAACACATGTTTACATAAGTTCCGGTGATATGCACAGCTCGTATCTACAAAAAATTATTTCTATCTCGACATCCCTCCTCATGTTTCTTCACTAATGTTCTGTAAATGGTGAGGTAAGAAAACCTTCAAAATTGGGGCATTGGAAGATATCTCTATGGCATCGCCATCCTGTATAGAATAGCAAACATGAGAACCGTCAATGTATATGACCCCCTCTTTAGACAACCACGTAGCTTCCATGGACTGATGAGATTTGATTAATCCGTGCATTAAGCTCGAGGCATTACCTGGCGAAATGGGCTCTCTTACGATATACTGGAGATGCTGAGATAAGATGGGCATCGGAAATCTGCCTGCTGAGAGCATTGCAGCAGTTGATCCAGCAGCTGTTGAAACTCTGAGACCACTTGATCGAGAATGCACCAGCAGGGGACGTGGCTGGTCATCCTTTTTAATTCTGCTTGTAGGCGGGGAGGGAAGTTGTCGAATTAAAAAATAAAGTTAGATACATGTTAACAACAGAAATAAGTTGAGCATACAACTATGAGACCACGGAGGAACCTTACTTGAATGACAATCGCGATAGTGCTGCCGGACATGGATGTGAGATTAAAATATCATTAAGAGCATAAGTTGGAAGCACTTCTGAGTTTACACGTATTGATATCCTTGTCAATTTGGACGGATTAGCTTGACTCTCGAGGATGTTGTCCAGTACCTAAGAAAAGAAAAGCAAATCTTCAAAGTTTATGATACTTCAAAAGAATTGCTACTCTGCACTGGAAATCACTGATTTTTCTACAAATCCTTCATTCCATATCTCCAAAACGTATAATAAAATCACATTTAGGTTGTGCAGAACAACTCCACAAGAAGTTGAAAATACAAAAGTTACTTAACTAAGCCTAACTTCTAAGTGAGTGGGCTTGCCTACAACCAATCAACCGCACTTAATGAAAAGTATTTCTATGGGGCCAACTCTAGAAGCCCTTAACACCATAGCAGGTCTTTGGCAGGCAAATAGATTTCATTAAGTACTCTACTTTAGAACAGGACCACTTTGATCAAATATTTCCTTACAACTAAAAGGTTAAGCACAGCATAAAACTTACATTAAAGATGAACGTCAACGTCAACGTCTTAGTTAATGTTAAATGTTTTCTCTCCTTCTTGTCCTGACTGATCTTAAAGACACCCTAGCATAGTGGAGTGAAACTAGTCACTAGTCGCCGATCATCATTATGTCAAATTCATTGCACCGCAAAGATAGCCTGTGCTTCTATTAGCTCAAACTCATTCCTGAGCTTCTCCACCTAACCGAGTCATAACCAGGCAAAAAGAAAAGAAGGATAAACTGATTACAAGCCATGGTTAAGTGAAACTCAGTGGACTAATACGCCAATATAAAGAATGAATCTCTATGGCTTAGCCAAATAAAGAGACTAACCTCTTCAGGTTGTGTGGGGTCAGAATTCACTCCTACAACTGGAACCGAGTCATCAATGAAATGGCTACCTTGTAATAGAGTGCCATCACCTCCAACTGTAACAACAAGGTCCACATCACGGATAGGCTCTGATAGATTGCTACGTACTATAGGTTTCCACTCAACAGGCTTCTGGCGCAAAATATTCTGACAAAAGTTTATTGCATCTTTGTGCACCTTTCGCCTGTTCTCCAAGTAATTTAGTATCTGTAATATCTCCAAAAGAAAATGAATTACAAGGGTGGTTTGGAAAAATCATAAAATGATGAATTAAGAAGATACGAGTTATTTTTACACCTTTGGAAAATTCACAAAAAGATGGAACCAAGCCATCCTTCTGAAACAGCAAGGTAATAAATGTCGGGAGCACTATGAGACGAGCAAAGCTCGTGGTTCTCTGCTCCTCACTCGAGGCTCCATTTACAGGAAAAATGAAGAAAGAAATAAAAAAGTTCATATTCCCACAACCAAGGACATTGCTAGTGAAGAGATATCGTGTCCTTGACTAACATATCTGTACAATTACAATGCTAAAAGTTAATGGTGAAACAATTCTAAACCTTAAATTTCTTAAACTTCTCTCTCTTTTTTGGGCATGGCATTTTCTTATTTACCGGGTTTTACCGTGAAATCACAGTTCACACAAATCTACAGCGAATTATTTGATCCAACAGTTTTCTCAAACATCAGTTCAGCTTGTAAAAGCCATGATCATACAAAGTACGGGCCGAGAAACTAGTAGTACCATTATAAAAAAGAATCCTGGACAAAGAAATAGTGGAGTTTTTCTGCAAGCCCTAAGCACACGAACCAACCATAGTCGACATCTTCAAGCATGATACACTCATACATGACTCTACAAAAATCGACAAAAACAACACGAATATGGTTAACACCACAATGTCTTGAAAATTGGTAAAAAGTAGAAATCTTTTTTTACCTTTATCACTTGGTATCCCACTTTTTCACTCGAATTACAGACTTCTTGAGTTCATTGGTTTCGCTTAATAATAAAATCCAAATTCTGTTTCCAAGTTTCTTGGCATTTCGAACCAAATTTATTAACTTTGGCATTTTAACAAACAGCTTGAACGCTAAAGCTGAAAATTGCAAGCGACCCAGTAAAACAAGCATGGCACGCAATTCGAATATGAGGGTCCACGAGAAGGATCATGTTCTAGCGGATACTGAATCTGTGAATCAGAAAGGATCACAAGCGGCATAGTAGTACCTGAGGGTTGGTGATGCGAGATAGACAGTCTGACTGGGCGACTGGGTATACGTCGAACGGTTTTAACAGCAGCAACAGTCTCCTCCACGCCATTTCTCTCTCTCTGTATATGTGAAGGGTGTGACGGTTGTCCGGCCAAAGCTCCGTTTAGACTTGTATGTGGCTGAACTGTAACAGGCCTCACCGAACAATTTGTTAGATCTTTTTTTTCCTGTATGTTTTTGGTCGAGCGAACGTTATGTCATCTCCAACCGGAAATGCTAAATATAATCTCGGTTAGAATGATAGTTTTACAAAATTACTTTTTAATAAATAATGTTAGGTCATACTCATGTAGCATCTTCAATTAAATGAGCTAAGTAATTCCTCTCAATAATTTATTTATTTTAAATTTATTGGTAATTTAGTTAAACTATCATTGAATTTTTTTTCAAATATAGTCGTTGAATTTAAATCAATTATTGCAACTAAAGAACTGAGTCCTAAAAAATGACTAATAGGAGGCTACATTTGGTCAACATGATGACCCTTTGGCCAAATAATGGTCTGGTGGACTTCACCATCAATTGTTGATAAGTTTTTTTGACATATTAAGTCATTTTTTGGTTTTTAGACATTTGGTCCTCTCCATTGAAGATGACCATAGCGTCTAGTGGGCAATTTTTAGGGTCTATTTAGTATGTAATTGTTCCGTTTTTAATTTCTTTTTGTTGCCATCTTTTACCTGGAAAACTATGTAACTATTTGGTCTTTTTCAGTTCAATTTTTAATGTATTAATTTTATATGAAAAACTTTAAATTTACAGTTTATGATAAATAAATAAATAAAAAGGTAAATAAAAATGGTTTGTATCTCCCTTTGCGTTGAGTTGTTTTCTTTTCATTATTTTACTAATTTGCAAGGTTCTAAAAAACACTAGGCGCTAGTTGGGCAGCAGGCTGGTGCCTAGTGCCTAAGCGGCTAGGTGGGATATAGGCGGGCGCCTAGGTGGATTTAGATAAATTTCTTGTATATCTTGTAAATAAGTGCATATTGACACTTATGAAAAATTATACTTGTATAAAATCCATAGATAAGATAATAAAAGAATGATAAAATCAATGTTCTAAAAGACACTAAGCGCTAGTCGGACGGCGAGCTGGGCATAGCGCCTAGACGGATTTATGTAAATTTAATATAAATTAATTAAATTTACTATATAATATATAAATCTTATGTCTTTTCTTTTAAAATAATATATGTGATGTTAGGATTTAAATACATTCTAATGTAAATTGTCTTAAAAGAAAAAAAAGAATAATAAAACAATAGACGTTTACCACTTTATGTAAATGATCTTAAAAGAAATAAAAGAATAAAAAATTGGTAAAGAGAGTAATTGGACAAGAAATAAAAGAATAAAAAATTGGTAAAGAGAGTAATTGGACCAGGACCGTGTAATCAAAATTCAAATGAGAGAAGATGGTGGGACCATAAAGAAGTAACCGTACCCGTCTGTTTAAATTGAAAGCTAATATGGTGGTCCCCACCCCTTCACCTTTTTCCTCTCGACCTGCAACATCATTTTTGCAGAAACATTTTCAGATCTCGACGTCTTCTCATACGCCCACCTAGGCCGACCTAGTTTCCGCCCAGCCCTGACTAGACCTGTATAGCTCCGCCTATACCCGTCTAATCCCACCTAGGCGTCTGCCTAATACATTTTCTGATTTTGTAACCGATTAACAGTTAATCGGAGCGATCGGTCACCGTCCAGCGCCTAGACCGATTTTTAGAACACTGCTAATTTGTCTTTATTTAATTAAATTGTTATTTTTGAAAGTTGTAAGAATGGAGGGGTGTTTATGGTATTATCATGAACGTTTTCCTTCTTTATATTAGTAGTAAATTTTTTACTTTTGTTTTTAAAATTAAAGGAAAGAGGAAAATAGTAAGAGAGAATGTGGAAGTCGTGAGAGAGGGTTTATATTTTTATTTTAAAAAAAATGAGAGATGATAAAATCACTTGTAGGTAAGACTTAAACAAAAAAAAGTAAGATTTGTTTTGTAAAATTATGTTTTTAAATTTTTTGTTGTGATAGAAAATAAAATTATATTTTCATCGTCTTTTGATTGACAAAAAAAACTTCATTAATATGTAATTTAGATACTAGCTAACTGGTACACGCAATGCGAGTGTGAAAGCCCTTTTGTGGCCTCACGGTGGGAATACTTCTTGCCTATTTCTATCAAATCTACTGCCATACTCATATTTTTTTAAGCTTGATGTGTGTGTGCCAATTTTTTATTTTTGTCACTCAATTCACTGGATTATGAGTATCCATTTATTCTTTAGTTTATAAAATCCTAATAAGCTTAAATAAAATTTAAAAAAAATAAATAAAAGGCCCCATCCTTCCACCCGCATCACCTCTGTCAAACGATGCCTAGTGAAGCACATGGGCTGGAAAAAAATCCCAAAAATCCCAAACCAAACCGAAAAAATCCCGATCCCAAACCAAAAAAATCCCAAACCAAAATTCCTGAAATTTTCAGTATGTCATCCCGAACCAAACCGAAATTTTCGGTACGTACAGGATTCGGTATTGCTTCTCCATTTTTTGGGTATTCCCATACCGAACCGAAATAAATATTATATATATATATATATATTATTTTTTAATTATAAGAGAATTATTTCAACCATTCATTGTTTTAGATTTAATCTGTGCCGTTCATTTGTTTTTAGGTCAGATCCCCTATTTCAATTTTCACTTCCGTTCCATCAAGAGCTTGAAGCGTAGCCACTGTGCCACCAGCCTTCCTTCACCAGAATCACCACCCAGCTTGGCTTATAACTATTATTTTTGCTTTTGAGTTTGTTACTTTATTTATTTTAAAACCTTGGCTTGTAACTATTATTTTTGCTTTTGGGTTTGGTACCTAATTTATTTTTATTGCAGGCATGATGCATGTGTAGTGGGCAGATTGAAACTTTGTTATTATTGAAACTTAATTTTGTGCACAAATGGGCAGTGGGTAGATTGAAACTTAATTTATGAAACTATGTCAAATTTGTGCAGTGGGCAGTGGGCAAATTAGTAGAAATAACAAATTGACAGTTTGGGCCCAAAAGCATAATATGTCAAATTTTAGCCCAAAAACATAATATGTCAAATTTTAGTCCAAAAGCCCAAAAGCATTTCGGGATTCCCGATTTGTCCCGAAATCCTGAAATTATTTCGGGATTCCCGAAAATTGGGATTCTCGAAAATTTGGTTTGGGATTGGTATTGAATTTGGGATTCCCGAAAAATTCGGTTTGGGAATCGGGACAAGGGTTTCGGTATGGGATCCCATACCGAACCACCCCTAACATCTAAGGGTGGCCTCATCCAACACTCATCACACACGCACACCCCTCCACCACCTACTTAGCCCACCCTATGCGACCTAACCTCAGCAATTCGATCCACCACCCCCTCCTTCGAACCACTCATGATCTTGTTCCCGCACGCCCCGTCCTCTGAGACCCATCCCACCCAAGCCCGACCCCGACCTGTGACGTCGACAATGAAAAAAGAAAATAGAGAGATAGATAGAGAGAGAAGAGAGGAATGTGGCGAGGATTGAATTTCCAACGAGGGCTGTTATCATTACATGACTGTGAGGTTCATGTTAAAAACAGTAAAATTAGTGTTCATGTAATTATTAAATTGCTTATAATTTTTATTTCAATTCAATTTTAATTAGAGGGTTGTATTAGTAATTTCACACAATTTTAGTTAACCACTAAAGTTTTATTAATTTATAGTTTAGATAAACGACAAAATTTTTAAAATTAGTTTTTTGTCTCATCCTCATTCCTCAACTATTCTTCTTCCTTCTCGTTGTCTCAGGTGTGACATCCCGTCCCGGAAACAATAAAACGTACGTGTGAAATTACCTTTTTACCCCTAGTTCGTTAAATTTTCGTTTAGTGTAGTTTCGGGTAGTGTGGAAATGTGTGAGACACACACACACACCTGTCATTTTCTCTTTTCCCTCTACCTTTCCCTGATTCCCTCTTCCCTGTCTCTTTTCTGTCTCTCTGTCTCTCTTCTCTCTCCCCGAGTCCTCTACCATTTCTTCATCTTCTTCTTCTCTCTTCAACACACACGGACACACATACAAACATACTCAAACCTTCATCAATCCAGAAACAAACTATACCATTGAACTCGTGAGGTTGTGAGGAGCACAACTATACCAATTCCAGGTGAGAATTCTTACGTTTTCACGTCGTTTCGACGAGCTCCGATTCATGCACTGTTCATGCAATTCTAATCTAGCATGTTTTTGAACTTTCTAAGCTTGTAGTTGTGTTCTTGAGGTCTCAAGGAACTTGGGAATGCTTCGTTGGGTGAATTTGGACGTCGGGAAAGCAAGGTTCAAAGTTGGCCGATTTTAGATTGTGTGGACAGGTATAATTCCTTGGTTTTTAGGTCTTTAAACTAGTCTAACGTGATTCTACTAGTCCTAAGCTTCATTTTGATATAAAGATCGTGAAAAATGGTTGAGAAATGAGTGAGAAAACTGAGTTTGAAGTTTACCCAGTTTTCCGGCGCCGTCGCCGGCGCCGGCGTCTCGCCGGAGAAGAAAGGGGAATATTCCGTCAAGTTTGACGGAATATTCCTAACGGCAGTGACGGTATCAGGTTAGATTTGATGGAATATTCCGTCAGTTTGACGGAATATTCCTGACGACGTCTGTTGACACCGTCAGTGTGACTGGCACGTGACCGCGCGTGGAGGCGCGTGCGTGGTCCAAAAATTATTTTAAAAATATGGGTGTGATCCTGAGGTTGTGTAGATCACATTGGTATATTCATTTGTCCATTTTGAGCAATGTATGAGAAATTATTACAAGGAATTGGTTATGTGCGTTTAAATTAACGTTTTCGTAGCTTTTTCGCGTATAGGTGATACGTACTCCGAGGACGAGCGTATTCACTCGAGGCAGGGGGGCTACGACCCTTCCAATTATCAGTGAGTGGGCTTTTGTTTTCCGTATATACCTATATACTTTAAATTCCCAGAAATAGAATAAAAAGAATTAATTGATTTATGCCATGCACTTTATTATTATCGCTTTTGCATCATCACATACATTCGTAACGGCATACGTTTATATATTTGTATTTGGTGCTGTGGACGCACAGGTAAGTGCCAGGTAAGTGGTTTTATGTTGTTATGCGATTGTAGTTTGAAATGCTTAGAGAGCTCATTATCTGCACCCCGGTGTTAGTGCTCTCGCCCGTGGCCAGGGCATAGCCTTCACGTGTATGTTCACCTCCCGCACCACACGCTCAGCTTGGATCCAGGTTAGGTGCACAGCCTGTCGTACAGACCACATTAGGTGGTTCCGACTCGTAGGTGACCCGCGATTCATCGCATAGCTTCACGTGATCGTAGCACTAGAGCGTATATATATTACACCAAGCCTGTCGTACAGACCACATTAGGTGGTTCCGACTCGTGTGCAGATTTGGTTAGTGAGTTGAGATTGGAGCTCTATAGGCCGCCGTACAGGTCACGTTAGGTGACTCCCGACTGCTAGATTAGATGTTATTGACGAGAGTTATGCTTGAGCATTTATATTTATGATGAATTCCGATGTGACATATTCTCGAGCATGAATGGCATATCTTGGAGCATGATTGGCATATCTATACATATGTATATACGTTCACTTTCTGGGATGTATACAGGTTTTACGGCGAGGGGTTAGAATGTGTTTTGTTAAAGAGTTTTCAAAGAACTTTGTTTTTGCCCACTCACGCTTTTGTTTTGCGCCCCTCCAGGTTCTAGTTGTTTAGCGGTTGCGGTGGTCTTCCCAGAGGGCGTCCCAGCATTTCTGACAGATACTCACCAATGTAGGGTCACCTTCGGGTGTATTATTGTCGTACTTTTCTCTTTGGACTGCTGTAGTCTTGCTCTGAACTTAGCGTCTCACTTACGCTAGTACTTGTCTTAATACTTTGTATGCTAGGTTTTAATTTATTCGTACTTTTACATTACTTTATCTAGCTTCCGCACGTGCACATGGCTACGTCACCTTCGAGTGACGGCCAGCACGCCCTGATCTAGGTCGGGGTGTGTCAGTTTGGTATCAGAGCATAGGTTTGGCAGTCCTGTGTCTATGTGAGTATTCTAATAGTTTTGGTGCCTTCTGTCAGAATCATGCCGCCTCATCGGGAACCACGTCGCTCCGATGAGTCTAGTTTCCCTAATCTCACTCAGCTGGGGGAAGCTATTGCTAACGCTATCCAGTCAGCTATTCGCCTTCCCCAGAGGACTCCTCTGGAAACTATGTACAATCTGAAATTGGATAAGTTCCACGGTCATGAAGGACCCGAGGGAGCCGAACGTTGGTTGGAACATATTGAGAAGACTTTCCGAGTATTGCACAATCAGGGGAACCTTCCTGTTGAGAGATGGGTTGAGACGACCTCATGGTTTCTGGGTACGGAATCTGCATCTTGGTGGGAGCATGAGCTTCGTAGTTTAACCCCAGCCGAGAGGATCGACTGGAATGTTTTCACTAGGTTATTCAAGAGGAGGTTTGTACCTCCAGAGTACATTGATCGCAAGAAGCAGGAGTTCACTGATCTGAAACAACGGAAGATGACGGCTAATGAATACTATCGCAAGTTCACTGATCTGTCCCGTTATCATCCTGATATTAATAGTAATCCAGCCGAAATGCTTCGTCTTTTCCGTGGGGGTACTAAGAAGAGGTGGCATTCGATGGCGACCACTACACCCTGTGAGTCCTACCAGGAATTCTATGAGATACTGTTGAGGATTGAGGACTCTGAGAATATGTCGAGCGATAGTGATGAAGAAAGAAATGATGGTAAACAGAAGATAGAAGACAAGGGAAAAGGTCAAACATCGCTTGGGCCTCGTCAGACTCAGAACTTTAAGAAGGGTGGTGCTAGTTCGAGTTCGTCTAGTGGTAGTTTCAGTGCCTCTGGACAAGGACGAGGAAATAGGTTTGCTGGAAGAGCTCGAGGCCAGAGACAAGGTAATGGTGGCCGAGGTTAAGCCCAATTTTGCTATAGGTGTAATACCCAACATTTCGGCGAGTGTAGGTATGGCAACAGGGGGTGTTTCACGTGTAGACATATGGGACATAGAGCTGTGAATTGTCCCCAGGGTCAGCAGCAGAGGCCGCAGCAGACCTTTATGCCACGACCTGCACCAATGCTGCAAATTCAAGGTTCGAGTGGTTATGGTCAGGCAGGTAGAGGTGGTGCCTACCACTACCAGGGTGATGCTGTTCCCTATGCTCCGGGACAACATCAGTATCCCCAAAACCCGTATTCACAAGGTGGTTATCCCCCGTACCCTGGTAATTACATGCCGTATCCTCCGGTCCCAGCAAGTGGTTCTCAATGGTACCAAGGAGGACAATATCAGCAAGGTGAGGTTGCCACTAGTAGTGCAGGGTCTTCAAGACAGTTGGGTCAGCCCAGTCAGGGGCGTGGAGCTCAAGGCCGCGGTGTTCAAGCGAGCAGAGGTCGCGGTGGACGACAGCAGGGTCAAGGGCGTATTCACAATATTTCCCTGCAGGATGCTCAGAACAACCCGGATCTAATAATGGGTACGTTAAACATTCTTGGTTATTTTGCTAGAGTCTTAATTGATTGCGGAGCTACGCACTCCGTTATTTCTCATACATTTGCTCAAGTGACACAACCTCGCCCCACACCTTTAGGGTTTGATTTAGAGTTTGCTATGCCTAGAGGAGAAAGATGTATGGTAGATTGTATGTACCCAGGTTGTCCAGTGATAGTAGAGTGTGTTGTTATGCCAGCTGATCTTATCCCGTTAGATATTGTTGACTTTGATGTGATCTTGGGCGCGGATTGGTTGCACCCCAATCGTGCCAATATTGACTGCTACGGGAAAGTCGTTACGTTTCGTCGTCCTGGACTACCTGTGGTTACGTTTGTGGGTGAGCAGAGTGGGGTAAGACATGGTGTTATTTCGGCTTTACGAGCGAAAAAGTTGTTGTCGAAAGGTTGTCATGGGTATTTAGCTCATGTGGTGTTAGATGAGGCCGTTCCGAGCCGAATTGAGGATGTGAGAGTGGTCAAACATTTCCCCGATGTTTTTCCCGAGGATTTACCTGGTTTACCCCCAGATCGAGATGTGGAGTTCATTATTGAGTTGCTTCCAGGTACTAATCCTATCTCTTTGACTCCTTATCGTATGGCTCCTGCAGAGTTAAGGGAATTAAAAGTGCAGTTGCAGGAATTAGTAGATAAGGGATTTATTCAACCTAGTATTTCGCCTTGGGGCGCTCTAGTGTTGTTTGTGAGAAAGAAAGACGGAACTTTGAGGCTGTGTATTGATTACAGACAATTGAATCGGATGACGATTAAAAACCGTTATCCATTGCCTCGTATCGATGATTTGTTTGATCAACTTCGAGGTGCCAGTGTATTCTCTAAGATAGACTTGAGGTCTGGGTACTATCAGCTGAAGATCAGTAGAGATGATGTTCCTAAGACGGCGTTCAGGACTCGTTATGGCCATTACGAATTTCTGGTTATGCCGTTCGGGTTGACGAATGCACCAGCAGCTTTTATGGATTTAATGAACCGAGTATTCCAGCCTTACTTGGATAGATTCGTTATTGTTTTCATTGACGATATTTTGGTGTATTCTAAGTCCACAGCGGAGCATGTTCGACATCTTACTTTAGTGTTGAAAAGATTGAGGGAACATCAATTGTATGCTAAGTTTAGCAAGTGCCAATTTTGGTTAGATCAAGTTGCATTTTTGGGGCACATCATTTCTGCTCAAGGTATTTTGGTTGACCCTCAAAAGATTGCAGCCGTTGAGAGTTGGGAACAACCACGAACAGTCACTGAGGTGAGAAGTTTCCTTGGTTTGGCCGGGTATTATCGAAGATTCGTTAAGGATTTTTCGGTGATTGCCTTGCCACTGACGAGGTTAACGAGGAAGGAAGTTAAATTTGAGTGGGATGATAAGTGTGACCAGAGTTTCCAGCAGTTGAAGCATTGTCTCACTCATGCACCTGTTTTGGCACTCCCGGATGATAATGGTGAATTTGAGGTTTATAGTGATGCTTCCTTGAATGGTCTGGGATGTGTATTGATGCAGCATGGTAGGGTGATTGCTTATGCTTCGCGGCAATTGAAACCCCATGAATTAAATTACCCTACACATGATTTGGAGTTGGCTGCTATCATTTTTGCATTAAAGTTATGGAGACACTACCTTTATGGGGAGAAGTGTAGGATCTTCACAGATCACAAGAGTCTTCAATATCTCTTTACTTAGAAGGAACTTAATCTTCGTCAACGGAGGTGGTTGGAGTTGCTCAGCGATTACGATTGCACGATTGACTACCACCCTGGTCGTGCGAACGTAGTGGCTGATGCACTTAGCAGGAAGTCACAGGGTCGCATTAACGCGTTATATGCGAGTCATGTTCCTCTTTTGGTGGATTTGCGTGCTACCGGAGTAAGGTTAGAAGCAGAAGATCGAGAGGTAGCATTACTTGCTAATTTTCAAGTTAGACCAATTCTTGTTGATCGAGTGCTTGAAGCTCAGACAGCTGATCGGGAGACTCAAGAACTAATCCAATCTCGAGAACAAGGAAGGAGGAGAGACCTCAGAGTGCGTGCGTCTGATGGCATGTTAATGTTAGAGGGTAGGATGTTCGTGCCTAATATTGGAGAATTGAAGAAGGAAATTCTCGATGAAGCACATATCTCAGCTTACGCCATGCATCCAGGAGCTACTAAAATGTATCATACCATTCGACCATTTTATTATTGGCCGGGTATGAAAAGGGAGATAGCTGAGTATGTAAGCAAGTGTGCTGTTTGTCAGCAGGTTAAAGCAGAAAGAAAGAAGCCGTTTGGGCTGATGCAGCCGCTTCCCGTTCCGGAGTGGAAATGGGAAAATATCACTATGGATTTCGTTTATAAGCTCCCGCGTACACATAATGGCTTTGACGGCATTTGGGTGATCGTTGATCCGCTCACTAAGTCAGCACATTTTATTCCAGTGAGAGAGAAGTATTCTTTGAGCCGGTTAGCGGAGTTGTTCATCTCGAAGGTTGTGAAGTATCATGGTGTCCCTGTGAGTATTGTCTCGGATCGTGACCCACGGTTTACATCGAAGTTTTGGGTAGCTTTTCAGGAAGCTTTGGGTACGAGACTACTTTACAGTACGGCATATCATCCACAGACAGACAGACAGTCAGAAAGAACTATTCAGACCTTGGAAGATATGCTGCGAGCTTCGGTGCTAGAGTTCAGTAATGCTTGGCACCAACGGTTAGATTTGATGGAATTTGCTTACAACAACAGTTTCCATTCGAGCATTGGCATGGCGCCATTTGAGGCTTTGTATGGCAAAGCTTGCCGCACACCATTGTGTTGGTCAGAAGTGGGAGAAAGAGTTCTAGTAGGTCCGGAGATTGTCGAGGAGACTACTCAGAATATTCAGGTAATTAGGTCAAACCTGAAAGTAGCTCAAGACAGGCAGAAAAGTTTAGCAGATCGACATGCTACGGACAGAATATATGAGGTCGGAGATTGGGTATTTCTGAAACTTTCACCATGGAGAGGTGTTGTACGGTTTGGAAAGAAAGGGAAGTTGAGTCCCAGGTATATCGGACCATACATGGTCACAGAACGAGTTGGTGAGGTGGCTTACAGATTGGAGTTGCCTCCAGAGCTGGCTAGAGTGCACAATGTTTTTCACGTGTCCATGCTCCGACACTATGTTGCTGATCCGTCGCATGTGATACCTCCTCAACCGTTGGAGATTAATCTAGACTTGACGTATGACGAGGAACCATTAACGATCTTAGACTGGAAAGAGAAGGTTCTGAGGAACAAGACGGTGAACTTAGTGAAAGTCTTGTGGAAGAATCATTCAGTAGAAGAAGCTACATGGGAGACAGAAGATCGGATGAGGGATAGGTATCCTAGATTGTTCTTTGACCACTAGGGGTCTTATGTGGTTGTTTTAAATTTCGGGACGAAATTCTATTAAGGTGGGTAGGTTGTGACATCCCGTCCCGGAAACAATAAAACGTACGTGTGAAATTACCTTTTTACCCCTAGTTCGTTAAATTTTCGTTTAGTGTAGTTTCGGGTAGTGTGGAAATGTGTGAGACACACACACACACCTGTCATTTTCTCTTTTCCCTCTACCTTTCCCTGATTCCCTCTTCCCTGTCTCTTTTCTGTCTCTCTGTCTCTCTTCTCTCTCCCCGAGTCCTCTACCATTTCTTCATCTTCTTCTTCTCTCTTCAACACACACGGACACACATACAAACATACTCAAACCTTCATCAATCCAGAAACAAACTATACCATTGAACTCGTGAGGTTGTGCGGAGCACAACTATACCAATTCCAGGTGAGAATTCTTACGTTTTCACGTCGTTTCGACGAGCTCCGATTCATGCACTGTTCATGCAATTCTAATCTAGCATGTTTTTGAACTTTCTAAGCTTGTAGTTGTGTTCTTGAGGTCTCAAGGAACTTGGGAATGCTTCGTTGGGTGAATTTGGACGTCGGGAAAGCAAGGTTCAAAGTTGGCCGATTTTAGATTGTGTGGACAGGTATAATTCCTTGGTTTTTAGGTCTTTAAACTAGTCTAACGTGATTCTACTAGTCCTAAGCTTCATTTTGATATAAAGATCGTGAAAAATGGTTGAGAAATGAGTGAGAAAACTGAGTTTGAAGTTTACCCAGTTTTCCGGCGCCGTCGCCGGCGCCGGCGTCTCGCCGGAGAAGAAAGGGGAATATTCCGTCAAGTTTGACGGAATATTCCTAACGGCAGTGACGGTATCAGGTTAGATTTGACGGAATATTCCGTCAGTTTGACGGAATATTCCTGACGACGTCTGTTGACACCGTCAGTGTGACTGGCACGTGACCGCGCGTGGGGGCGCGTGCGTGGTCCAAAAATTATTTTAAAAATATGGGTGTGATCCTGAGGTTGTGTAGATCACATTGGTATATTCATTTGTCCATTTTGAGCAATGTATGAGAAATTATTACAAGGAATTGGTTATGTGCGTTTAAATTAACGTTTTCGTAGCTTTTTCGCGTATAGGTGATACGTACTCCGAGGACGAGCGTATTCACTCGAGGCAGGGGGGCTACGACCCTTCCAATTATCAGTGAGTGGGCTTTTGTTTTCCGTATATACCTATATACTTTAAATTCCCAGAAATAGAATAAAAAGAATTAATTGATTTATGCCATGCACTTTATTATTATCGCTTTTGCATCATCACATACATTCGTAACGGCATACGTTTATATATTTGTATTTGGTGCTGTGGACGCACAGGTAAGTGCCAGGTAAGTGGTTTTATGTTGTTATGCGATTGTAGTTTGAAATGCTTAGAGAGCTCATTATCTGCACCCCGGTGTTAGTGCCCCCGCCCGTGGCCAGGGCATAGCCTTCACGTGTATGTTCACCTCCCGCACCACACGCTCAGCTTGGATCCAGGTTAGGTGCACAGCCTGTCGTACAGACCACATTAGGTGGTTCCGACTCGTAGGTGACCCGCGATTCATCGCACAGCTTCACGTGATCGTAGCACTAGAGCGTATATATATTACACCAAGCCTGTCGTAC